CCAAGATGGCGGAAAATTTGCGTTCCCGGTCCTTTCGCGCACAAGATGGCTTGCTTCTCACTTCTGCCCGTAACCTAACGTAATGTTCTCATAAACCGGCCGATCCACTAACCCGTTGATCCGGCACACATAATTAGTCTCGTAATTCACATAAGTCCGTTTCCGATGTACGGTTCACATAAATTTAATGTCGGTGCGCGGCTCGTACGTTGCACACCGATCGATGCTCGACAGCTCGTCGCTGTACTTAACTCCGCCTTCTTAACGCGAGACTTTTCCTCGTTGTCCTTTCTGACCGAGTTCGCGGAGGCATCCCACTTCTGATTTGTAGTTTAAGAAAGGAACGATGGAAATCTGTTACGATAGCGAAAGGCAATAAAGGAGTTGGTCAAAATAAAATAAATTAATTCCCCTATAGAGGCTTGATGTCTGATAGATAATAACAGTATAATTATTGTATATCAAACATAGTTGTGAATACTAGTTCGTATTTCGGAATACAGTCTGAATGACACAATATTAACATATGAATGTCAATATGAAGGCTCTAATTTAGAGTGAAAGAATATCAAATCGCAATGTCAAGGTCAAATAAAGGATCATCAAATGTCATTAATTCAGTATAAGCGCTCAAACCCAAACTAAGTATGAGGAACACGTATATTCTCTTTAAAATTAATGCAAGGAAAGAACTTAAGTCGTTTATATGAAATTAAGATGGCAAAGTATACGAATAATAAGTATCGTATAGAATCGTAAAGATAATTAGTAATATAATAATAGTAAGGTTGCGTGTCATTACACAATACCAGTAATTTTAAGATAAACCATACAGATGAATAAGGCAATAATTATATAGGAATATTAAATGCACAACATAATATATGAATAATGAAACAGTCATGGATAATATAATAAGCGCAAAGTCATATAAATTACGCAAGAGAATAATATCCAGGTTATAAAGCACATATAAGTGATAATAATAATAATAATCATAAGAATAATATTAGACACACCATGTAATATGTACATAAGAAAGCAAACTTGAATAATTTACCAATAGAAGAGTAATATGACTTCTTAGTTGATTGCAATAAAAGGTTAACTCAGTAAAGCTCTAAGGGATTTAAAATTGAGACAGCTTCAAACTCAATCGACATGCCTTTAGAATTAACATCTAATAATAGTGTCGAGAATAGGAATGATAGATAATTAATAATCTGTAAGCCGTAATATTAATGTCTCAAGAATTGATGTAAAAGTAATGCAAAGGAAAGAGACTCAAATTGTCTCTTTCTGGAATGGAAATTCTATTCAATTGAGCGAGGCCTGTATTTTATGGCAAGTTCACAAATGAACGACTATCCAATTAATTTAATGGATACTTAGCTCGTAGGTGGCTGGACTATGCCGTAGATGCGTTCTCAGATGGCTGGAATATGCCGACGATAGTCTCTCAGACGGCTGGAATATGTCGACGATACTGTCTCCGATGGTTAGAATATGCCTATGATACCTTCTCAAACATGGCGGGAATATGCCAACGATAGTCTCTCCGACGGCTGGAATATGCCGACGATACTCTCTTCGATGGCTGG